GCACGTTTTAAAATTTTCCATCTGATAGAGTAACTAATGTTGTTGTTCTTAAGATTCCAGATGTATTTACTTAATTCAGTAGAGTTGCGCTTCTCATAGTTATTAAATGAAGCTTTGTGATTGGTGTATCGGGTTTTGAATATATTTTCTGTTAGTCCAACATATGTTTGAGTGGGCCGCTTGTCAGATGTTTTTACTGTGGCTTGGTAGATAACAGATTTTGCCAGACAATTTTTTGACATAGGGCATTCACTTGGTTTTTGGCAATTGCACTTTTTAGTGTGAAGTTTCACTTCACACTGTTGTGATGGCTGGCGAATTCACACGAATCAGTCAGTCAGGCAATCAGTCAGTCAGGCAATCAGTCACTCAGTCAGTCATAGAGTAAACTTTCCGGGGGGGTTATACGATTTATGTTCGCAGTGATTTATTGTACTTAGTCAGTGCTTTGAAGGTTATTTAAGCAATTTTATTTACTTTCTTTAAATATTCTTTCTTCCTTTTACTAAGTTCACAAAAATTTCGAGGAATCGTTGTCGTTATTGTAAAGTTTTGTAATTTTAGAACATTCGCTTCTCATGTTGTGTAAAGGATCTTTCCACCGGAACACCCGATTTTTCATAGCAGCGCAAATGCGCATGCGCTGTGAAGCCGTAGATCACGATGCTGGGAAGGAGCGACAGAGTGTTGTTTTCCGAATATGTATAAACCTTTCAGACGTGAATATTGAGTAAATCTTTGAGAATCTACGCAATATATAAATTTATGTTATGCATGACGGTCTTTCAATCAAGTACTGATATATGTAGACGGTATATTTATTATACAGAGCTAGGAAGGAGCGACAGTGTTGTTTTCAAATGTATAAACATTTCAGACGTAAATATTGAGAAAATCTTTGAGATTCTTGGCATTCATGTTTATATTCATTACAGGCATTCAATTAAGTTCCGATATTATTTAGACGGTATACTCATATATATATAGCGACTGTATAAGGTGCTACTGCTGCTACACTCAGTACACTGAAAATATCGTAGTACACTCGCAAGTATATTAAATCTGATTAAATACACTGTGGAGCACAGAGTCTGCTAAAACCACACATGCAGCATGTGTCAATCATGCGTGTTTGGCTGTCTAAATATGGACATGATTATATAGGGTTCGGAGATTAGCGGTTGCATAACACCATCACGTGCTAATATTCAATAATGTGATTGGCTGCTGCATCAAGTCCACACAGCGAAAATTGCATCACACCAGTAATGAGTATTCAGCAGAGCGTAAACAACTTACGGAAGGCTGTTTGTATGGCGTTTACGAAGAAAATAACTCGCGACACTAAAGCAAATCTCTTGACTCGTCAGAGCTTTTTATTTAAACGAGAAAGACGAGGAGATAGCCCACGTGTTATCGCCAATCGCTTGACTTGCCAGCGAGCTTTATGTAATAGAAGAGAAAGGCAAGGAGATAGCGCACGTGTTATCGCCAATCGCTTGACTTGCCAGCGAGCTTTATGTAATAGAAGAGAAAGGCAAGGAGATAGCCCACGTGTTATCGCCAATCGCTTGACTTGCCAGCGAGCTTTATGCAATAGAAGAAAAAGGCAAGGAGGTAGCCAGCGTGTTACCGTCACAGACCTTGTTCACGGGTCTAGCACAACGGTGCAAAATCGTGTTCAGTGCAAAGAGAACTCTACCAGATCTAACGAGAATCTATCTATATCAAAGCTTATCAATACTACTATAAACACTGCTATAAATGTGAAACTATTGAAATCTAAAGTGACATTGAATACACGCGAAAACGTGAAAGTGACTGATGAAACACAAGGTGACCTTGGGAATGAGTCAAAGGTCAATGAGACTTGTTATTCTGAAACATGTCACAATTCTAGTACAGAAGAAAATAAACAAAACTCTACTGCATTACCAAATTTCAACAACACACATGCGAATATAGTGAAAGAAGTATTACCTTTGCCATCAACTCGTCCATATAATAATTTTAGTTGAAGTAGATCACGCAGTAGACATTTTATTGATTTTTAACACATGTCAAAAGCCGAGATCGAGAGCCGTCTAGAATTCCCGTTAAAAAGTTAGTTCATTTGATGAACAAAAATAGAAAAAGTAGGCGTTTAATAAAACGGTTTATTAAGCAGTGTATTCCTAAATCATCTTGCTTTCACAATTTGCTTTCCACAAGATACCGAAAAGATATAATTCAGCAACAAACAAATGCATATATGTGGAAATTTAGGAAGGCATTTCATGCTAAGTCTCAGAGAATACGTAGAGTTGTACATAAAAAATTATCAATGTCAATGACAATGCACAACTTGACAATTCTGAAAAACAGTACAAAGCGTGCTAGAACTAGAAAACATAAATTTAAGGAATACAGCGTTAAAGGTATGGGCAATAGTAAATGTAATATGCAAAGAATAAAGACATCTGACAGAAATTTCTTATTTGTGTCTGGTGATGTAGAGTTAAACCCAGGCCCCGTAAATATTTCAAATATGTCAGTATTGACCACAAGACTAGCTCGAATAGGACGAAAGCCAGTAAACATTGTCGGTGATGGTAACTGTTTATTTCGTAGTGTAAGTCATCATGCAGCTTTACAGAACAGAAAGTCGTCATGCCCAAATAAGAGCTCTTGCAATCCAACATTTAATAAACTGCCCAGAACATTTCATAGAGTCTAATACTGAACAATCATGGTCGCATTATTTACAGAATATGTCAAGGCTAGGCTCATGGGCAGACCATATTATCATACAGGCAGTTGCGAATGCAAATAATTTAAGAATTAACATCACAGAAAGTGCGCAAAATTTTACTGAAACTACAGTTGTAACCTCTATTTATGCTCAGGGAAATGTAAGAGATATTTATATCGGACATCTTGACGAACTGCATTATGTTTCTACAATGCCAATTGAGCAATCTGCTTCTCAACAAATAGGAAATCAGACAGCAACTGATAAACAAAAACCAAACCCACAAAATTCGCAATCTAATACTAATAGTAATAAACGTATCTCAGAAAACTCCGTCTCAATGAAAAAAAATAAAAAAAGAAAAGAATACATGAAGGAATACATGAAAAAAAGAAGGTCGAACACCGAATTTAAAAAAAAAGAAAGCGAGAGAAAAAAGTCATATAATAAGAAATACAAAAACTCGAATTCTGAAAAAATTAAGGAATCTTGGCAAAAAGCCAGTGCAACATACAGACAATTAAATCCTGAAAAAGTAAAAGAGAGTTTTAAGACAGCCAGTGCAACATACAGACAATCAAATCCTGAAAAAGTAAAAGAGATTTGTAAGAGAGCCCGTGCAACATACAGACAATCAAATCCTGAAAAAGTAAAAGAGAGTTTTAAGACAGCCAGTGCAACATACAGACAATCAAATCCTGAAAAACTAAAAGAGAGTTTTAAGACAGCCAGTGCAACATACAGACAATCAAATCCTGAAAAGGTCAAAGAATCAAATAAAACAGCCACTGCAACATACAAAAAATTAAATCTTAGAAAGGTTGCGGAATTGTCAAAATTGTCAAATATTACGTACAAGCAGAACTATTCGGAAAGAGTTAAGGATACTCAAAAAAGGAAATATCTTAAAAGAAAGTTAGAATGTGGTGAAAGTGAAACTAAGATGATTAAATACAATAAAGTAGATAATTCGAATGACAATTCATGTGAAACTCTGCAAATACCTGGTAACTCTGATGATTCGAGACAACAAATCGACGTAACAAAGGCAATTGAGTTATTTCATAAGAACATTAGTGTTGGACCAGAATATATTTGCACCTGTTGTGACCAATTATGGTATAGATCATCTGTCACTGAGTGCAATGTTTCTTTATATAAATCTTGTTCAAAAGAAATCCTTAATATATGTCTTACTGGTCTGAAAAGCATTGATAATACTGAATGGATATGTGGTACATGTCACTCAAACTTAAAAGTTGGTAAACTTCCAAGTTGCTCAAAGGCAAACAAAATGACTTTCCCAGAAAAGCCCGAGGTTTTAGAAAATTTAACACCTCTTGAAGAAAGACTAATTTCGCCGAGAATACCTTTTATGCAGGTACGGGAATTGCCTAGTGGAGGTCAATTAAGTATTCATGGGAATGTAGTTAATGTTCCTGCTGATGTTAACACAACTGTTAGTGTTTTACCAAGACCAATTAACGAGTCACAAACTATTCCAATAAAATTGAAACGACGGCTTGGTTATAAACACCATTATCAATTTCAGAACGTTAGACCTACAAAAGTTTTAGATGCAGCTCAATACTTGGTTCGCACTAGTGAAATATTCAAAAATGAAGGAATACAAGTAATGGATAATTATGTGTCAAATCCAGTCAATAAGGACGAAGAGTGGTCAGAATTTATTGCCAAGAATACTAAGGAGACTTCAGATAATCTGTCAAACGATTTGAATATTGAAAATCAAGAAACAGTGGAGACACGAGTAAGTAACGACTCCGTTGACAATGACACTGATGATGAATGGTGTGAAGTAACTGAACGACCATCAGGTGTTATGGATACATTATTACAAGAACCTGACATTACTCAAGATGGTGATAAAATAATCAGTTTTGCACCAGGAGAAGGAAATAGACCACTTGGTATATTTATAGATAAAGATGCTGAATTTTTGTCTTTCCCTACCATTTACTGTGGCAAACGTCAAGCTGATAACAGTGAAAGACTTGTTCCTGTTCACTATAGTACAATATGTAAATGGGAATTACGAAGTCGAGATCGAAGAGTTGCTCAATCTGTGCCAAACATTTTTTATAAATTAAAAAAATTACAGATCAGACAAATCCAAGGAAGTGCAAGTTTATCATTGCGTAAATGTAAAACCAAAGGTAAAACGTACACAGCAGGGGATTTGAAGTCTGAAAGTTCTGTTAATAAGCTAATCAATTTAGATGAAGGATTCAGAGTTTTAAGAAATTTACGCGGTTCCCCTCCATACTTTGAAAGATGTAAGAAGGATCTATTTGCAATGATTCGTCAGCTTGGTAAACCTACATGGTTCTGTTCATTTTCAGCTGCTGAAACGCGTTGGATTCATTTGATTAAAATTCTTGGTCGTCTTATTGACAACAAACACTATACTGACGATGAGGTTAAGCAAATGACTTGGCAAAAGAAGTCTAAACTGATACAGAAAGATCCAGTAACATGTGCTCGAAATTTTGAACATATGGTGCAACAATTTATTCACAATTTTATTAAAAGTTCATGCCATCCAATTGGAGAAGTTGTTGACTTTTTCTATCGTGTTGAATTCCAGCAAAGAGGTTCTCCACACATCCATGGATTATTCTGGATAAAAAATGCACCTGAGTATGGTAAAGATTCCGACGAAGATATTACCAATTTTGTAGATAGCTACGTTTCATGTAAAGCTGACTCAGATGATTTAACTGAACTCGTAAATTTACAAAGGCACAAACACTCTAAAACATGCAAGAAAAGAGGAAATGCTGTTTGCAGATTTAACTTTCCTTTACCGCCAATGCCGAGAACTATGATTTTAGAGCCTTTGTCTGAGACTGATCTAGAGGAAAATATTGCAGATATATTAAAGAAAGCTTTAGGACAGATACGTTCATTATTAGACTCTATTAAAGCTGATGAAACCATGACCTTTGATGAATTTCTCAAAAAGTTAGATTTATCAGAACAGCAATATCTAAAGGCTATACGGCTTTCCCTTAAACATAACA